AAGCAGTGAAGGAATGCTCTCAAAATTCTGGGTGGAAATAATTTCTGGCCTCAAAGTCTATATCCAGACAAACTGTTTATTAAGTATGAGTGCACAATAAATTGTTTTCAGACATGAAAAATATCAAAATTGTGACTCTTTCATACTCTCTTGGCAGATTACTGAAGGAAATCCTCCACTAAAACCAAAGAGTAAACTGAGAAAGACAGGAATCAAATAGAAGGGAAAGGCAAAAGAATGCTTTGGGGTGATAAAGAACAGCCACCGAGGGTAAGGCCAAGAGGACAAGCAGTCCAGATTAGAGCAAGAGAGGGGGCTTCAAAAGAGGTCACCAATAAAATAAAACATACAAAAAGAACCCTCATGTGACATAAAATACTGAGAAGAGTTCCCCATACCTGGGTTATAATAATACTCGTATTATTAATATAATTAATCATATGGTTACAGAAATTTAATCAAGGATTCCAGGTCCAGGAAGGGAAAAGTAGTTGCAGAATAGCCATATATTCACAACACTGCATAATGCTCACATGGTTACAATAACAAGAATGGGAAGAAATCTTCAAATTATTTGCATGTAAACTTTTAATTTAAGCAAGAGAGGGATAGATTCCATGACCTCACAACCTGTTAACATTCTAATGCTTTTCTCTCCTATGTGGCTGCCATGTGAAGCTTAACTTTTAAATAAACCTGAGGTCTTACTTCATGTACCTAATTCCAGGGTTTAAAAAAAGGGGGTGTGCTGTAAAGCCTTTTACTTATTAAAGATCCTTCATAAAGAAGTAGTAAGACCAGTTAAACACTGTGAAATAAACCAACAATTTAATTAAAATATTACTTTGTTATTAGATAAATCTGCACTTGTACATTAATGTTTGCATATTTGATTATTCTTTTAGGATACATTCCTAGAAGTGAGTCAAAAGGACTCACTTTAAAAAAATATATATCTTTTATTGATTTCAGAGAGAGGAAAGCAGAGGGAGAGAGAGAGAGAGAAACATCAATGATGAGAGTCATTGATCGGCTGCCTCCTGCATGCCCCCGACTGGGGATCGAGCCTGCAACCCGGGCATGTGCCCTGACCAGGAATCAAACCCCAATCACCTGGATCCTAGGTTGACGCTCAACCGCTGAGCCACATCCGGCTGGGCAAAAGGACTCATTTTTAAGCTTCTTCTAATACATTGCCAAATTGTTCTCCAAAAGTTTACCTTATTAATCCTCTATCCAGTAATGCACAGTAGCAACCAAGGAAGCTATTTAATCACTCTTAGCAACATCTTCATCTTTTTAAAGTTATGTACCAATGGGCGGGTTCTGGTCAAGATGGAGGAGTAGGTAAACACTGTGCTAACCTCTTCCCATGACCACATAAAAATTACAACTAAATTACAGAACAATCAACAGGGAGAACCATTTGAACACTAGCTAAACAGAAGTCCTGTAACTAAGGAAATATATAAGCCATATCAAGAACGATAGGAGGGAAGGAGATACGAAAAGGGCTGGCCCCAAAGCCAAGTCTGGCAGTTGAGAACTGGGAGGGATATCTCAGCTGCAGAAGTCCCCACTTAAAAGCGAGGGGTCTCAATCCCACACCAGGCTCCCCAGCCTGGAGCACCAGTGCCGGGAAGAGAGCCCTCACATCTGGCTCTGCAAATTGGCAGGGATTCCATCCAACCACATGAAACAAAAGGCTGGTGTAAACCCAGGCATCTCAAAGGGCCCACACACAGACTCAGTCACTCAACAGGCACTTACCCTAGGCTCCAACAAAAGAACAGCAGCTTAGGGGGTGCTAGAGACATACAGGGAGAAACTGAGTTGTGTGGCTTTGGAAGAGGGCTGAAAGGACAGCTGCCACTGTCCCTTTGTTGAGCCCTCCTCCTGTACAGCAGACAGGTGGGTGCCATCTTTCTGGTTGTTGAACCTACCACCACATGGGCCAAATCTGAATCTGCATCAATCTGGTGAACATTACTTGCTCCACCCTGGTGACTCCCTGAGCCCATGCCCCCACCCAGCTTGCAGGTGGCCAAAGGCAGGCAGCCGTCCTCAGCCTGCATTGCAGTCTTTCTTAAAACTCTCAGAAGTCCACAGGACCCAGGCAGGCAGTGTTTGTGAATGGCCTCAGTGCCCTGTACCTTTTGAAGAGTGTCCTTGGGCTATGCACTGGCACCAATTCTGAATCTGCATTAACCTGGTGAACACCCATGCACCTCATCTTGGTGAATCTGAAACCCTACCTCACCCAACTCACCTCACCCAACTGGCCTGCTGCCTGAGGCTTGTTCAGTGAGCCTTACAGGCAGCCAGCAGGTACTAGCAGCAGCAGGTCTCAAAGCACCTTTTTGCTGACCAGCCTCTGGCCTGGTACTGGTAGAAGCTGATCATAGTTCACAGTGTGGCCTCTCCCACATAACTCCAGGCCTAGCAAAGCAGCTACCAATCACAGATCACTTTTTAGTTTTCACCAGGCTGGTCACAGGCAGTGGCTGACCTGGGTATGCACCCCAGCCCCTCCTTAGAGGCCCCAGAACCAACACACCCTGTGGCTGGCTTCAGAAAACAAGCCAGTTAGCTCCAAAGTCCCACTTCATGGGGTCAACCTCCACACAGCAGTTCGAACACTGGTTCAGCCAACCCTCATAATCAATTGCCTGAGAATCAATCCCACCTGACATTCCAATAGCAACCAAGGCTCAACCACAATAGGAGGACACACATAACCCACACAAGAGACAATCCTGGAGCACTTGGCTCAGGTGATCGGAGAAACTGAGCCATTGGGTCCCACAGGACACCTATTACATAAGACCACTCTGCCAACACTGGGAGACACAGCAGATCTACCTAATACATAGATATAAACACAGGAAGGCAGCCAAAATGAGGAGACAAAGAAACATGTCCCAAACAAAAGAACAGGAGAAATCGCCAGAAAAAGAACTAAAAGATGTACACAAACAGTTAAGCAAAGACATAAAAATGGCAAATAAGCATGTGAAAAGATATTCAACATGATCAGTCATTAGATAAGCTCAAATTAAAACTACAATGAAGCTTTGTGCAGTGGCAGTATTGTAGCCAATGAGGTTTATCTGAGGCGTGATTATTGCTAATAAAAATAAAAAAGAAATATCACTATACTAAGATGGCTCAAATTAAAAACCATGACCATATCAAGTGTTAACAAGGTTAGGAATGGAAACTCACTGCTTGTAGGAACATAAAATAGTGCAAACACTTAGGAAGATAGTTTGGCAATTTCTTACAAAGTTAAACATACCCCTGGCTTTAAAAACCAGCTATTCCTCTCCTTTGTATTTACTTAAGAAAATGAAAGCATATGTCCAAAGACTTGGATATAAATGTTCATAGAAGTTTCATCTGTAACAGCCAAAAGCTGCAAACAATTCAAATGTCCATCGCTGGTGCATAAATAAGCAAATCGTGGATGTCCATACAATGGACCACCCAACAATAAAAAGAAATAATAAACTACTGATATACACTTCAACATATGTGTCAAAATAATTGTGCTAAAAGAAGCCAGTCCCCCCTTCAAAGCCATGCCCACTCCAAAAAATAGTACATTCCATATGATTCATTAATATAAAATTTTAGAAAATACAAATGATCTATAATGAGAGAAAACAGGTCAGTGATTTCCCGGAGCCTAGGTGAGATTACAAAGGGGCAGCAGAAAGCTTTTATGGGCAAAAGATATACTCACTTTCAATTGTAAGGGTGGTATATATTAGATCATAAGTTATCAAACTATATACTTTAAGTATGTGTAATTTACTATATGCCATTTATACCTCAAGAGAACTGTTTAAAAAAGTTAAACAAGGTGAGATGTTTTATATAAGGAAATGGATGGTGCTATTTGGCCTAAATATATGGTGAAAAATACAGAACATAATACTGTTGACCCCAGGGAAGGAATATTCCATAACAAACACCAAAAGACAGCTGCAAAGTAGCAGGTACTCTAGTTCAGGTAGGAGAGAAAGGGTGAATAAAAGTTGGGCAAAAGCAAAAAACGAAAATCATTTGGTAAAGAAGCAGCCATCTCTGAGTGTGAACTACAGGCTGAACAAACGTGGTCAGAGTGGAAATGAAAAGCAAAGAGATGGATAGAAGGAAGAATTTTATGATTAACAAAATAGGAAGAATTCAGGAAAAGGACACTATTGCTGTCTTCTCTTCTGTCAAAGTCAACTGCGTGAGGCTAGGAGTTCCAAAGGACAAAGAAGTGCTCGGTGGACCAGTGAGGCCAAGCCTTCTAGTCAGAGCATGGGCCACCATTGCCGCAGCAGATTCACAAAGTCTAGTCTCAGTGAATAAAGCCTGGAATGAGCCAACACCATATTGCGGGCTTGCAGAGGAAAATTTCACTAAATATGCTATCTTTACAAGGTTCATACCTAAACCAATTCCAACTTCATCAGTAATTTCTAAAATGTAAAAAATTCTCATGGGTAGAAAATAAGAGTTAAAAACCAAAAAAAACAAACAAACAAAAACTCATCAACAACAACAATTATTATTCTTTGAAAACTATATAGAAAACTTACATAAAAAATAAGACTTTCTTTTAACACTATAAACAAAGTGCTAAATGATCTTAAAAGAAATATCTAAAAATGTTAGCAACATGGAAATAGCATGATGATCTTTAATTTCTTGTAATCAATTCTATTTCATAAATACACGTTCTGGCACAACTATTTACCTGTAACAACCTATATTTAGAATGAAGATCTGTGTTGTGGAAGGACATCAGAAATACGATATCTAAAGCTTTACATGCAAGAATAATTAAGTTTTGATTGCCCTTATCAACAAGACTAATCTTATGAACCAAGAAATCAACCCCAAATCTTAATTCTATAACCACTCCTCTCAAAATCCACCCACCTTACATTCTCCCCCAGCTACATGGAAAAAGCACTTTTGCGACCCAGTACATAAAACATGCATACCTGTTTGGAAGGTAGGATTTGCTCCAGGGTACATGTTGGGGGAGTAGGCAGGAGCTGCTGCTGCATAGCCCATGGGGAAACCCGCTAGAGAAAAACACACAGAACAATCTGATGTCATCACCTGAAGGAGTAACATGATTTTACAACCAGGGTTCCCACATACACAGTCTTCTTATCTCCTTCATCAGAACTCATGACTGACTTAAGGAGCCCAACAGTGTTATATAGGCTGAACAGTTTGTCTCTAGTTGCCTCCTTTCCTCAGAATTATTATGAGTCACAATTCTAATTATGTCTTTTAAGCCTATGAGTATATGCTTACAACTTTTGCCCTGGCTGGTGTGGCTCAGCTGGTAGAGCGTTATCTTGTGCACCGAAGGGTCACCGGTTCGATTCTCAGTCAGGGCACATGGCCAAGCTGTGAATTTCATCCAAGGTTGGGGTGCATGCGGGAGGCAACCGATTGCTGTGTCTCTCTCACAGCAATGTCTCTCTCTCTCCCCCCTTCCCTTTCTCTCTAAAAATAAAAAAAAACATTTTATAAAAAATGCTTACAACATTCAACAACTGAAAAAATTTGACAAACTAAGAATCAAAATATCAAAAACGAAAAAAACAAATACACATCCAAATATAAGTCAAAAACTGCCAATACTGTGGCAGTTTTATTCTAGATTCTAATCCCATAATTTAAGACTGCTAAGAGCACTGTGTGCTGAAGGGGCTCTAACTGGGACCAAAGACACACGGAACTGAGAAAAAGCCAATCTCATAATCTACTTGGAAGCAACCTTAGATTTATTAATACAAACGAGGAATCCTTCATAAAACTAAACCACAGCCTAATAATTCATGTGAACACAAAAGAAACAGCAAATAAGACTTATTATTATAGTCAAAATCCTTGCCATTGGCAGATGAAGAATTATGCAGCAGTAGTATGTAAAATATAAAAAGAACAAAGTAACCTCTGTGAACTGATTTGGAATGGTTCCTAGAATGCATTAAGATGACAAAACAAAGTGAACACCACCTACATCTCCATTCCAGAAAAGGACCTGTGGTTCAGCCATAAGGAGTATGTGGGTCAACAGTGTCCAGCAGCAGCAACTTCCAGGGCCACTTTGGCCTAATGAGGGCTTCCTCTCACTGTCAATCCTTGCCCCAGAGCTCCTGTTGAGTTGGCTAAGACTTCGGCAANAGAAACATCAGTGATGAGAGAGTCATCATTGACTGGCTGCCTCCTGCACGCCTCTGACTGGGGATTGAGCCCACAACCTGGGCATGTGCCCTGACCAGGAATCGAACCACGATCTCCTGGATCCTAGGTTGACGCTCAACCGCTGAGCCACGTCTGGCCGGGCTACCTATGACTTTTAATACACTGTGTATTACATTCAATGTTAAAACACTAAGCATCCCAAGAAACAGGACCATATGGCTAAAAACAGAAGAAAAGATAAACTGACAACAGAAACAGATCCACAAGTGATCCAGGGACAGCAAGGTCTTTAAAATAAATAACTGTGAGTAGTATGTTAAAGAAAACAGAAAATGGAATCAATAAAAAAACTTGATTCAATACATGAGCAGAATANTAGGCAGGAGCTGCTGCTGCATAGCCCATGGGGAAACCCGCTAGAGAAAAACACACAGAACAATCTGATGTCATCACCTGAAGGAGTAACATGATTTTACAACCAGGGTTCCCACATACACAGTCTTCTTATCTCCTTCATCAGAACTCATGACTGACTTAAGGAGCCCAACAGTGTTATATAGGCTGAACAGTTTGTCTCTAGTTGCCTCCTTTCCTCAGAATTATTATGAGTCACAATTCTAATTATGTCTTTTAAGCCTATGAGTATATGCTTACAACTTTTGCCCTGGCTGGTGTGGCTCAGCTGGTAGAGCGTTATCTTGTGCACCGAAGGGTCACCGGTTCGATTCTCAGTCAGGGCACATGGCCAAGCTGTGAATTTCATCCAAGGTTGGGGTGCATGCGGGAGGCAACCGATTGCTGTGTCTCTCTCACAGCAATGTCTCTCTCTCTCCCCCCTTCCCTTTCTCTCTAAAAATAAAAAAAAACATTTTATAAAAAATGCTTACAACATTCAACAACTGAAAAAATTTGACAAACTAAGAATCAAAATATCAAAAACGAAAAAAACAAATACACATCCAAATATAAGTCAAAAACTGCCAATACTGTGGCAGTTTTATTCTAGATTCTAATCCCATAATTTAAGACTGCTAAGAGCACTGTGTGCTGAAGGGGCTCTAACTGGGACCAAAGACACACGGAACTGAGAAAAAGCCAATCTCATAATCTACTTGGAAGCAACCTTAGATTTATTAATACAAACGAGGAATCCTTCGTAAAACTAAACCACAGCCTAATAATTCATGTGAACACAAAAGAAACAGCAAATAAGACTTATTATTATAGTCAAAATCCTTGCCATTGGCAGATGAAGAATTATGCAGCAGTAGTATGTAAAATATAAAAAGAACAAAGTAACCTCTGTGAACTGATTTGGAATGGTTCCTAGAATGCATTAAGATGACAAAACAAAGTGAACACCACCTACATCTCCATTCCAGAAAAGGACCTGTGGTTCAGCCATAAGGAGTATGTGGGTCAACAGTGTCCAGCAGCAGCAACTTCCAGGGCCACTTTGGCCTAATGAGGGCTTCCTCTCACTGTCAATCCTTGCCCCAGAGCTCCTGTTGAGTTGGCTAAGACTTCGGCAAATTTGTATCACAATCCTGAGGCTCCCCTACCCAATTCTGCTTCTTCCCCACTAGACCTTTCAAAAGTGTCATCCTCCCCCAAAATGTCTGCATTTCTAATTCCATCTAAGTATGTACCACCTTTTGTGTAACAAAGAAGAAATTAGAATATATGGATGCAGTTGGCCTAGGGGCATGACATGGACTGAATATTTGTGTTCCCTTCAAAATTGTATGTTGACACCCTAACCCCAATGTGATGGTATTTGGAGATACTCAACAGTAATCATTTCACAATGTACACATATATTAAATCATCACAAACAGCTTTATAAAACGTACAAACTAGACATATACAATTTTTGTCAATCATTGGAAAAAAAGATGCTATCTGCCTAACAAAAGAAGAAATCAACTGACNTGAGCAGAATAAGCAGAATTAGCAAAATGAAAGCAGATAAGAACAAAATTATCTATATTAAAACCCATAGACAGACATACACACAGAAAAGGAAAATCAAAAAGGATGTAAGAGACATAAGACAAAGTGAAATGACCTAATATACTTATAAATGGAGTTCCAGGACAGAGAGAAAGGGGCAGAAAAAATATTTGAAGAGATACTGTTACTGCTGGAAAAAATCAGTCCACAAGAGTCAAGAAGCTCTATGAGCACTAAACAAGAAAAATACAAAAAATTAAAATAAATAAATCACATCAAACCCCTGGAACTAGTAAAGACTACCTTATTTGGAAACAGGGTCTTCACGGATATAAGGATCTAGAGATAAGATCATCATGGATTACCCAGGTAGGCCCTAAATCTAATGACAAGTGTGTACATAAAAAAACACACAGATGGGCTTCTAGTCAAGACGGCTGATAGGTAAACACTGCACTTGCCTCCTCCCACAACCACATTAAAATTAAAATTACAACTAAACTACAGAACAAGCATCAGTGAGAACCACTTGAGATTTAGTTGAACAGAATTCCTATAACTAAGGATATACAGAAGCCACATCAAGACTGGTAAAGGGGCAGAGAAGCAGAACACACTGGTTCCACAACCATGTGTGTCATAAAAATCTCGGCTGTGGAGGTCCTCGCTGAAGAGTGGTGGTGGGGGGGTGTCCCAGGCCCACATAAGGCTTCCTGAGCACAGCGTTCCGGTGCCAGAGGGAAAGTCCTCATAATTTTTGGCTATAAAAATCATTTTTAGATTATGGCTGAGTGAGACAGAGGACTCCTAAAGTCCCAGGGTTCCTCTTAAAGAGCTCGCAAAGGAACTTACTTGGACTTACTTATTCTGAGCTCCAGGGCTGGAGCAGCAGCTTGAAAAGCACAGGGACATATGGGGAGGAAATGAATTGTCTGGCATCAGGGTGAGGGCTGGAAGGCTGCAGGGGCATCTTTCTCCCAAACAGAAGTTCTGGCAGAGCCCCTTCACTGTTCCTTTGCTGAGCCCTCTCCCCACAGAGCCCACAGGCAGGTGCCATATCTGAGTCACCATCAACCTGGCTAATACTGTACTCCACTCCTTGATGATTCCCTGAGACTGTCACACCCAACTTACAGGCCCAATCAAGCTGCTTCTAATGGCTTTTCTATACTAACTGCCATCTTGGCTTATGCTGTAGACTTTCCTAAAATCTTTCAAAGGTTTACAAACACCAAATAAGCAGCATCTAGCCTTGGGGTGCCTTGTACCTCTTGCTGAGCAGCCCCAAGCCTGGCACTAGCACCAGTTGGCTTTAGTTCGCAGCTTAGTTCCTCACAGGCATTTCCACACCCAGTGCAAGTGGCAACCATCTGCAGATGACTTTGTAGCTCATACAAGGTGGCCCCAGGCAGGGCACAAGCAGCAGCTGACCTTCGCCTACACCTCCCAAAAGGCCCCAGAACCAACACACCTGGTGGCCAGCTTCATACATACCAGAGCACCACCCACCACCTCAACAAATGACACACTCAAAGAACAGACTAGGCAAGTACCAATGACTCACTAAAGTGAATCCTGCTACATAGGGTCAACCCCTACACAACAGCTCCTTGACTGTAGTCATGGACAATCCTCACAACCAATCAGAGTAAGGATCAACGCTTGCCAACAGCAATCAAGGCTCAACTCAACAAGTGGGCAGAGGTCATTCACACAAGGGACATCTCTGGAGCACCTGACTCAGATGACCAGAGAGACTGAGCCACTGGGGCCAAAAAGACACCTACTACATGAGGCCACCCTACCAAGGCTGGGAGACATAACAGATCTACCTAATACATAGAAACAAACACAGAGAGGCAGCTAAAATAAGGACACAAAGAAACATGTCCCAAATGAAAGAACAAAA